GTTTCCATATTGTTTCACCATCACAAGTTCTATTCTATTTAGATTTTAACCATAGTTTCAATCAAACTAAATAGATATCTATAAAGATAGATATAAAGAAAATATTATGTACCGTAAAACTTTACTATTAGCAGTATTAAAAATTTTTATCTACACATTCATCGCTTGCATACGTTTACTAATAAATCAACCGTTTGTTTTGCATACCAATGCGCCGATAATATTTGCATTTTTCATCAAATATGTGTTTATTGTTTACCAGAAAACCAAGATAATATCGGAAATATAACTATTAAACAAGAAAATCACGGATATTAAAGGATTGGCAAATAAAAATGCGAAATCTGAATATGTGAGTACACACAAATAGAATAAATTATTTCCATTATCATATGATTGAATAACAAATATTGTACACTACCTATGACTAGCGGGAATGCTAACACATTCAAATTAAATAAAAATGGTTTATTATACAGAAAAAAAAGGAATAAATGTTTTATAGAGTTGTTTTAAAAGGCTAACAATTTAATATATCTAGAAAGTATTCGAAAAGACGAAGGCGTAATTCTATTTGTCCTGTATATATTTTTGTTACTTATAAGCCGATCGGATAGCCAAGCGGGCTGGGCGGCTGGCTTCTCATTCGCGTCACTGCAAAGGATGTCAGTTCGATCCCCAGCTCGGTGTACAGAAAACAAAAAGGCTAACGCAGCAGTTTAAAATTCTAAATGAATCTGCGGCTTAGTCTAGAATATGCTGGTATCTGATCGGCCTATGATGGAGCAGTACGGCAAGAGATAAGGGCTTGCGGCTCGGTGATACTCCTTCATAGATCCCTACCGGAAGGGCGTGTGCCGCCTAAATACATATATATATATATATATATATATATATATATATATATATATATATATATATATATATACTTATAAGCCTAACAAGTCCATCATCAAAGCTATTTACATAAAATTTGGCAGAAGAAGTGTTACAGAATGGCATCAGTAAAGGACAGCAAGAATTCTGAAATAATAGATCCACCATAAATGGACAAAACTACTGAATATAATAAAACTGCTTCATGATCCATTGATCTTACTCGAGTCTTTGATAGGGTAAGACTTGCCAAAACTCGTAATTGAAAGAAACTTAAAGCAAAAAATAATTGAAATTATTTGACAATTGAACACCGCTAGCAGGAATTTACCGATAACAGCTCAGAAAAAGAACCAAGGTTACTGAGGTCTTCGAAAGGATATCCAGACTAAAATGGAGATAGGTAGGATACATATTTAGAACGACGGATGGAAGATGAACAAAGAGGTTATTGGAATGAAAACCAAGGGAAGACAAGGGAAGTCTTGGTCAATCCTCTTGAATGTGCTGACGATTTAAGAAGATAAAATAAAAACTGGATGAGAGTGACACAAGATAGACGAGTTTAGAGACACGAAGAAGAGGTCTTTGGCTTTTAAGACTAGATGATGATAACGAACAGCTTTTTTATAAGAACAAATAATAAGCTGTCCAATAAGTTACTAGTCTCGTCAGGATTTAGCCAAGTGGATAGTTTCAGCTCACTCCTCTTTATCTTCCTTATGCATGATATCATGTGACTTTCTACAATACCTACTCGTTTATTACCCAGTCTCTCTATGTAAGGACTGGTAAAACACGCTAGTTGAACGACCTTCTTTTCTCACACTTCCGATTTAAAAATATATCTTCAATGTATCTGTTCAAGTTCTTTTTGCTCGATCTTTATGCTCGCTGGGTTCTAGGTTGGTCATCGTTTTAGGTTTGTTTTCATTAATTTTCAATGCAACTTTTCCTGTTGCTGTTGCTCTAAGTTCTTCCAGCATGTCCGATTATCTGCAAAGCGGAGGGGAGGTTATTTAATTATTATTCTTCAATGATGATTTCTTTGTCGTCCCCGTTCAGAATTTAGAAAACGTATTTTAATACTGTTGACAACAATTTTGAGGACAAATCGCCTGTTACCTTGTTAACATTATTCCTCTCCTGGTCCCTTTTATTTTTGGTGATGTTGTAAAGATTTGATCTGAACGGCTAATGATGTTGGAATAGCGATATTCTATTCTGCATTTTTGTGAAAACATCATGAAAAATCAGCACCAAGTGTCTATTACACTGAATACTATTTCGAAAAAGGTCTTGGGACATTGCAGTTGATCATTTTTACTATACGCAGGGCCAAATCAGAGGCTTATATGGAATCAGCAGATAGAACTAATAGTCAAAAGAACAGTAAGTATTATAATAGTAGCCAGGCGTAACCCAAGCTTTAAAGTGGAGTTTAAAACCAGACATGTTGTAGTGGAGTTATAAGATGGTGTTAAAACTAACAACAATAGCATATGCGGCAGTGGTATGGCGACCAAAGATAAAGCAAAAAAATGTCATACTCAATTAAGAGAGGTACAAAGACTTACCTTTGAATCGAAGGAGCTATGGGGGTTAATTTAGGAGTCTTTATTGAACCTCCCTCAGCTGCATATTCTAATAAGAGGAGGGAGGAGAATGGAATATTATAGTCTACGGAAGATCTGATTAACAAAGATCAAGACCGATTAATACCATCAAAATGAATGATATATATCGGAAAAGGAGTACGACCGTCAATCCAATATATTAAGGATCACTCAGACGAATGGTGGGTTCTTATATCGGTCTCAAGGTGGAGAAATAAAAGACAAAGTTGATGGGCTACTTTATCTATTTTGAAGATGTTTCGCTTTCGTATTTTGAAAGCATCATCAGTTCATCTAAAAATTACAATATGACAACCACACAATCATGGAAACGATGTTATAATTGTTACCTTAAAAAGACATGCTTTGACAATAACTTTGACTGATATATATATATATATATATATATATATATATATATATATATATATATATATATATATATATATATATATATATATATATATATATATATATATATATATTATCCGTATTCTAGGCAGAAATATATGCAAGACATGAAAACTTCAATAAAACAATGTCAAACTAACAATTACTGCAGAAATGTAAAAACGAAAAACACGTATGGTAAATAAAATGAAACTAATACAATACCACCAGGAACACTAACCCACTATCTCTAATATTAAGCTAAATCATTTTGACTCGTTTGTTCTGTAAGCTATTTTTCGTTTTATGCTCCGCTGTTATTTTATTCTTGGATTTTATATCAAAAATAAAACATACCTTATTTCACTAAACATAAAGTCCCACTTTTCTTTTATCAACACAACACACTCCTTTATTACGCCAAAAGAGGAGAAATACGGGGAGTATATAATTTGGCCCACTCAAATTTCTGCTGTAGACCCATAAATTATTTGGCTGGAAAATTGAAGCTCTGGCTGGCTTGCTCGAGCGTATTGTTTGATTTAAAAACAAAGAAAAGGGTTCTCCCTGTTTTCTTAGTGAATTCAACGCTACAGCGGCGGAAAATGAGTTTTCAAATTAACGCCGCACCGGCTCTATGTTTCACTGAAATAACTTTTGACATTTATTTAGTTTAGTTTTGAGGTCTAAAGAGGTAATACTATCGTGAGGTAGACGTAATTATTTCTATTTCATCTCATAATTCATTCAGGATTTTTCATCTTGCGTAAAACAAACGTATACGATATTATATTATCCAATTTGTTTCTTGAACGTGCTGTTGGTCAGCTGTAATTAACAACAACAGACAGTGTGTCTTCTTCTTCTTCATGTGCCATTTCCTCTAAGAAGGTTGGCAATTATCATGGCAATTTGCACTTTCGATACAGCTGCTCTAAAGAGGTCAGCAGAAGTGCAATTAAACCAAGCTCTCAAATTGTTTAACCAGGAGATGCGTCTTATTCCGCGACTCCTACCCTGTATTCTTTCTTACATTATTAATTGCAACAAGTTATTACCCTCTCCCCTCATGACATGTTCTAGATATTGCAGTTTTCTGACTTAAATTATATTTAAAACCTCTTTATCTTTTCCCATTCTTCTCACCTCGACATTCATGACTCTATCCACCCAACTTATTCTTAATATCCTTCTGTAGCCCCATAACTCTTAACGATCTACTCTTAAAGCTCGTCCAAAACAACCTGCAGATGGTGCATAGGTAAGTTTCAATGTAAGATGTTCTTCTTCTTTCCGTTTCTCTGCTATCAGAAATTGGATATTATCAAGGCTATTCGAATTTTATTTACAGTTATTCTAAACAGTTCTTTTGCGGTGCAACCAAAGCAATTTCTCATCCAGGACGTTCTTCGGTGGTCCAAATCCCTTCGTGCTTTAATATTTCCCTGATTTTACCCAATGTATTCTAAATATTGGTCGATATCACTACATCTCGAAACTCTCAATACTTTTTGATTGTTCTGTTTGAGAGTTAGTTAGAGAGTTAGTTTGAGTAGTTCTGCTTGTATATTATCAGGGCCTGCCGCTTTGCTATCCTTTAACTTTGTTACTGCGGAATAACCTTCCTGCTGTAATATTCGTGTTCCATCATTTACCTCTTCTTCTAGCTCAAAGGTGTTATCTCTTTGTCCTTCAAGTAGTTTTTCTAGATATTCTTTTTTTTACAAATATTATAGATCAGTTTGAAAATATCCCTTTATGTAAAAAAATAGCAATATATAAATGAAACAAATATTAAACATATATATATATATATATATATATATATATATATATATATATATATATATATATATATATAGACGGTTACGTTTGGATTAAATTCAGTTTCCTTACCATTTCCTTACACGTGGTTCTGGGTCTACACGTCGTCAGAGGGACTTGTAAGAAACTAGAATTAAATCAATATCATACCAGAGTATGCTTTTAGCGACCTATAACGAAGAAAAATTAAATGATTATCGATAGCGATTAAAGTAAACTGTATATCCAAGCTAAATCAAGCCATTCAGAACAAGGCTAGGAATATTAAACAATTAAATTTTATTTTTGTTACAGGTACATGTGCTCCAGGTTCTTCATAGACTTTCCCGACATCTCTCAGCAAAAAGGCAAGTTGGAAAACTATTTGTGGAACCACTTCGTAGAACCCGACGAAGAAGCCCTCCGCCATCAGTACCTAATGCTTCTACACGACGTAGTTGAAGAATCAACCGTGTGTCTCATGGGCCACGAGAGACGCCAAACACTCCAGCTCATCAAAAATCTAGCTTGGCAAGTCCTCTACCAAGACCAGCAGCGCATGATGACCCAACAGCCGCCTCCTCTTGTCTACGCCAACGGCATCGTCTACGCTCCCATCATCCAGACCAACTGCTATTGCACGTGCAATACCACTTGGATGCCGCAGTGCTGTTCGTGATGTGCGATTGTGGACGAACACTACCGCATGGAGAACGATTGGTGAAACGTTCGCTGGTGTGTGAGTGACTATTGGACGCACCTCGTACATGGACTTCAGTGGCGAAACGGGCGTCATTGTAATGTACGTTTTAACAACCATTCCAAAATTTGTAGGCCTTCTGGCGCAAAAGTAGGAAACAATTCTGACAAAAGAAAATAGTATTTTTAAACAAGACCTTTAATAGTGAAAACATTATTAATATCAATGTACAAATATTATAATTAATATTAAATCTTAGGTAATTATTTATAAAAACTTTTGCCAAAAAAATAATACTAAAAAATATACCGCAAAAATACTAATCATTTTTTGTAGGGAACTTTGTATGTTAACTTTAGGTCTTAAGATGACCAAAATATCAATAGAAAATTGGGCGTACTATTTTTAAAACTACACATTTTTCCACGTTAAAAAAATTAATAAAAATGATAAAACTTTTCTTTAAAAAATATCGTATTAGGATTTTTTAATATATTTATAACTGTAATAAACATATTAAATAAGAAAAAATCTTTATTAGAAAGTATATAAAAAGTTTATAAATGAAATACTTAAGAAAATACTTAAAGAATTGTCAAGGTAATAAATTTTCTTTCTCTGAAAAATAAAACGTTTTTACAATGAATTTTTTAAGCATTTATTTTTTATTCTCTAGCTTAAGTACCTTGGCGATTATTAGCGTCTACTGAATTTCGTTCGCGACTCTCGAAAAAATGCTCTGATGCTTTGTCCGCACCGCTACAGATATGTCATCCGTGAAATTTCCTCAGAGCTTTTAGTCCAGGCGGAATTTATTTTGAAGTGAACATTTTCCATAGGCGTCTATTTTTTGCTGGAATCGCTTCCTGATGTACCTTGTAACAATAATCATGGTATATCCCAGTTGCAAACCTGGGAAATACTGTGATTATTCCTTAGTGGAATCTTTCGTTTTCAGTCGTATTATCAAGTTTTTCTAGGCGGTAAATAAAGGCTGTTAGGTATGTTAAAGGGATCGAAAAACTTTAAACGAAAAACCTTGTGCTTATAATTTGGAACAATTGTTTTTTTTTTGAAATTTCCTAGTCTTCTAGTTGACCGATTCCAATTTTTCAAAGTGCATTTGAAAGCTTTATCTGCTTTTTATATTTAAAAAAATTTGACAGTTTAAAGTGCTTTTTTAGAAACAGCATAATTTTGCAAATTTGCTATTTTTGGCGGACCCTGGATTGCAAAAATTATTATGCAAAAACTATTAAAATGATCATAACAAAATTTAGCACTTGTTTTAGTCCTATTATGAATTTTTTTTAGGCAAATGATAAACGCTGTAAGTTTTGTTTAAATCTTTCAGTGACGCTTTTTTTTTCAGCAAGGAAAAAAATATTTTTGCCTAAAATCTCCTTAAAACGGTTCATATAACACTCTTTGAACATTAAAAAAAATTTAACAAATATAAATAAAAAATTATTATGGGTCCATTTGTACCCAAAAGTACTTAACAAATCTAAAAAACTAGCGCGTATGAAAGATAAACAAGCAATTTTTTTCCTTTTGAACCAGTTCAACAACCAGTTTTGTTTCTTAAAGGTAAAGATAGCTGAAGGTGCTCTCAAAAATGTGGTTCATGGTGCTCATCAGTTAGAGGTGGTTTAGAAGATCTTTTGAACCTCGCAGTACCAGCAACAAATATTGATTTTTGGTTGAGAATTTGTAAGAGGTTATAGCTCGTAAAATAATTAACACAATACAATGCATGCTTATTAGGTTCAAGTACTTACCAAGAAGGTGCTATTTCTGCGGTACTACCGGATTAAAAAAGTGTAAAACAATCCACTTTCACCATCTAATAAATACGGTTTTACTCTTTATGGATTGGATTTGTTTTTAATGTATTGCTTTATAGACATTCTCTCTTTGAAGGGCATGATTTGTTCCATCTTCCGTTTCCTACAGCTCTTTAGGACTGATTTAAAAACTGGTCGAACTTTCAATAGTTTGTCGTTGCTCTGTCTGGGTTCCAGATTGCCAACACAATATAACTGGGTGCGAAGTTTGAAAAAACAATTTAATGTCATTGTGTCTGGAAAAATATCAGTTTTTAAAGGTTTGTCCCAATACATTCGCAGTCTTGGAAATTTTAGAAAGCCTGTTAAAATTCTAAGGCCAAAAAGTTTATTTTTTCCAGGTTACATGGTACAAATTTCTCAATTCCAGTTTGCAAAGTATACATATTCGTGTATTGAACGAAATTTTCAAATAAACTTTGGGGGGAATATCTCAGAAAATATGTAACTGGATATTCCTCAAAACACTTTTCATTAAATTAGTTAATTCTCGTGTTACATTTTTTTAGAGTGATGAAGTTATTATAGTTACCAACGTTTTTGCACTGTTCATCATGATCCTCCTTTTCTTCTTCATTATCGTCTTCCTCATCACCACCTTCATTTTGATTTTCTGAGACATCATCTATTATATGGCCAATTCTCTGTCTTACTTGTATTTCTTCTTCGCAGTTACTGTCATCACTAACACATAATTCTATGTCGGGCAGTTTTTCTAGCGGTTCTAGCAATTCCTTATCCGTTAAATATTTTATCGGAAGCACTTTATTCTGAAAATAAAAATAACTTTTAGTCATTTTGGCTACAATTGTGCCCATCGAATTCGAGGTACATTTTTATTTGTGAAAAAAATCACATTTCAATAAAATATATTCACAATTAGTAAGAAGTAACACTACTTTTAACATTACACTGAAATAAATCGCGATTGACTTTTATTCAAACTGATATTTGAAGAAACAAGTACACTTACCTCTAACAAACAATGCAATTTCCCGCATATTGCTTTTGACATGAATTTTCTTTTAGAATAAAACCATCGATGCTCCATCTGGTTACAAAACGCAGACGTATAATACTTATAGCATGTAAATTTCTTTAAACTGGTTTAAGTTACATATTCCTGTAGAATTATATATGCATTCAAATTAAAGAGTACAAATGTACCCAACATGACTCAAAGGGTTAAGAGGTGGAAAAATTAAAAAAAAAACTATTTTTTGTCATTTTTTTTACAATTATTGCTATTTTTAAACAATAAACACTAAATTTTCAATTTCTAGCTACTAAAATATGTAAAAATGAAAAACAAAGCTTTTAGCTTTACATTTATTTGTGGGAGCAATATCTTTCGAGTTATAGGCAAAAATATTGGCATACAAAGTAAAAATTTTCGATTTATTTCAGATTTTGTTAAACAAATTAAGCGCAAGGTTTGCGAATGGCGCCTATCGTTATTATTGATACAAGGTACATCTTGAAGTGATTCCATTAAAAAAATTATACTCCTATGAAAAATGTCCATTAGGGTCTGCTTTTTGACAGATCCCGCCTGAGCTATTTATGATCAATTTAATTCTCTTAGTGGGGTAAATATTTTGTCTTCTAAAATTTTCGTTGTAAATCAATTTAAGCTTTGTCACCAGTCCACCTAACTTACAAAGTTTCCTAACAAAAACCACACGTCACTTTAAAAGCAGGGAGCAACAGCACTATTTATGTCAGATTTCTTTCCCGTTTTTGGACATTTAGAGACCGGACTATTATCGAAAACTACGCAGAGTTGTCTTCAGACAATTTATTGAGACGTATGAACTTTGTACGAAGTACAAATATATGCGAGGTAGGTCGCCTTTATTGTGTTTTTTTACAAAAATAAACCAGATGAAATGTTCTAAAGTTTTCGGTATAAAAATATGCATTGTACAGGTAACAGAAATTAACTGGATTTTTACTATTTGTCGAGTGGATCTTTTAACATTAGATTTTTTTCAGTTTATTGGTAATCTGTTGCTGTTTAATAAACGAGATTAAGTTTTTAAATATTTTAAATTATTTTTAAATATGCTTATTATAGACCAAATATATTCGGGATTTAAAGGTTTTCCATGTAACCAATGTTTTTGACTAATTGCTGGTACAATCTTGACTAATTGCTGGTACAATATTAATTTTCTCGGTACAAATTGATCTTCTTGCTAAAGCGGTGTTTTGTTGTAAAAGTTAATATGTATCGGAAATTTAGGTTTTTCTTGACATTTTATCCTGATCTGCTTAATTAGCCAGTTTTTTAAACTTACAATTTACCACCGGCAACATATTTCGTACAATAATTTTTTATTTTTTTTTTGCATTAAAATTTATTAACTGCTTCTAACCAGAATCTTATAATATCGGAATTTGTATTAGTATAGATTAGTGGAGAATCTAAAAAATGATATTAACATATCAAAAAACACAAAAGTTCAAATGTTTTAACAGAGAACCGAGATTATTGGATTTTATTAAAGAGTTTGCAAATATCTCGCGATAAAATCAAGTTAAAAAGAGTTGAAAACATTAAATATTTTCCTGGTTATGTTTATTTTGGAAAACGACAATTTAGAAATGCTCGAATCAAGCAACCAAATATAAATGAAAAGTATAATGTTATGCTCTAACAAATATAGCAAAAACCCAGTTAAATATCTGTTACACCACATTCTTTTAGTTTATATACTGTTATCTATATCAAAATCACTTTATCAACATTTACCTTAGCGATATAATTGTACATATTGACTTAATATTAATATTTACTACAAACTGTATTTTACAAAATAAAAATGTATATCAGACGTACGTAAATGTTAGAAAATAAAGCGTAGGGCCTAACTGTGAATCGAGATTGTGATACAGAATTCATCGAGAAAAAGACCAACGAGTACCTATAGGTCCTGGTGGAAAAGTGTAAGTCTGGTGTTGACAAAAAAATATTATAATATTTTCATTAATTTGGTTGTAATATGAGCGGGAATGTAAAGATATCTTTGATTTTGTACTATATTGAGTTGACTCATATTGAGTTACATAAAACCAACATTAAGTGCCACTACAGATTTTTCCAGAATGCAGGGGGTTTCAATTTGTATT